CCAGGGAAGAAGGGGCCCGCCCCGGCCCACCCCCAGCCGCTAGCTAATGGCAGGGTTGGTTGGCGCCGGCCTGTAATTGCTGTGGGCAGCACCAACGTGGCTGTTCCCAGGGCTGGGGACTCATGTGACCAAGCACAGAGCCAGACTGGGACACGTGTGAGGATGACCCTTGGTTAATAGGGCTGGGATGTGCACGTGTCTTAGTCACCCAGTTCAGTGGAGCCAGGGCACATGTGTACGTGTGTGACCCCCAGTTAGCATGTGCATTGGTCCCCCATTTTTGTGGGGCTGGGACATGTGCATGTCTCAGGCAGCAGGGCTGGGTCATATATGCATTAGCAGGGTAAGGCCAAGCACATGAACATCCCAGTTAGCAGGGTCGGGTCATGGGTGTGTCCGTCCCAGGGAGCAGGGCTGTGCCATGCGTATGCAAGTTCTGCGTAGCCAGGTCTGAATACATGCATAGCATGGCAGGAACCTGCACAAGACTGTTGGATTTCTGTGGTGACATCTGGGGCCTGACATCTGGGGGGGTGACATCTGTGACCCCCTTGCCCAGCTGTTCCCAGGGCCAGAGGTCTCTGGGGGGGGCAGTGCCCACCAGCCTGGCCGGGGGCACAAGGGGGGCACATACCAGTGGCGAGGAAGCGGTGGGCGGCCAGAAGCAGCTGGGGTGACACCTTCACCTTCAGCTCATTGTCAGGGTCCTTGAAGGCTGAGAAGTCACGCTTGGCACGGGTTGGGCCCACTCGCTTTCTGCTCCGGTTGTCTGCTGCGGGACACGCACACAAACATGCATGTGAGTGAGGGGAGTCACCCTCATGTTCCCCCAGGCTCAGGCAGGAAAGGGGGTGGCTACAGAGGGAGTTGTGGGGTGCCACAGAGCCTGGCAGGATAGTCGTGGGAAGGGGCTGGGGCCCCAGGAGGGACGGGGGCCATGGTGGGGGTGGCAAGTCTGTGGGGTCAAGAAGCATAGCAGATATAGGGAGGGATGCGTGGGGCTGAGGACCCAAAGAGAGCTAGGGGAAACCAGGGGGACTAGGGGAGGGTTGGTGGAACCCAGGAGGAAGCTGTGGGGCCCTGGGGGTGTGGAAGGCTGTGCTAGGGGCTGTGGGGGCACGGGCGGGGACCTAACTGTACATGTCGGACTCGTCAAGGATCTCAGACTTGATGATCTCCTCAATGACGTCCTCAAGCGTCACCAGCCCCAGCACCTCGTAGAAAGGGTCGCCCTCACCCTCGTTGTTTACCTTCTGCACGATGGCCAGATGCGACTTGCCTGCGTGGGCAATGGAGGCATGGGTCTGGGTCAGGGGACGTTGGTGGGAGGGGCACTCCTCACCCACCCCCACACACAAACCCACAGAGAGCCAGTGGGATGTGGAGACAGAGAGAGCCTCCTCACCCACACAGGTGCACAAAAACGCACATAGAATGCATGCACCCATGTACACAAGGACACAGACCACAGGCCCACATGTGAAAACAGTCTGCCTGTACATTCACGCACACAGAGTGCAACCCTCCACCCCCAGAGTGCTTGTGCACAAATGCACGCAGTGAATGCACACATGCACAGAGTGCATGAGTGTGCACACACACCTGCGCATGCATGCAGAAGGCGCACACACATGGTGTGTGCACACACAGGGCATGTGCTCACCCATGCACACACAAAGCACACACACATACAGTGCTTGCCTGCACTCTCCCCACCACTCTCTCTCACCCCCCCCACCCCACCTCAGGCCCTCTAATAAGCGGGTTCAGGGCAATCACCTCATTAGCAACCAAGGCAACTCAGCGTCTAGAGTCTCCCCATCCTCCCACACCCCTGGGGCCAGAACTGCAGAACCCAGGAGTCTGGGCCCCTACCCAAAACTCCATGGGCCCCTCCCCCATCTGCCCAGCTGCCACACCTCTGGCTGCCACCATGCAACCCGCTTCTGGGGTGCATGAGCTGCCACAACTGGCACAGAGGCTGGGGGGGGGCCTGGCACCAGCTGGGAGCTCAAGGTTGTCCAATGCCCCCCCAGACCCCCAAGGCACCTGTGCCCACAACCAACCCAGCTGGGGGGGAAGGGGAGGGACGGAAGGGGGGGGCAGTAATCCCAGCAAAAATGGCTGGCAGCCAGGCCTCTAAACTGGGATTAGGCCTGGACCAGAGAAAATCCTCATGTAGACAGCAGATGCAGGGTCACATGTGGGGTGAGCTGGAGGGGGGGGGGGAAGCAGGGAAGACCCACCCCCACC